AATGCAAGCGTGAAGAATGTTTTGCAGCTTCTTCTTAGATTTCACAATGTATGAAAAAGCCTGGTTGCCGAGGCAGATGCCCATTGCAGGGCAAAGCCCTCATAGATAACCTTTATTAGGGCAGTAAAGAGGGAAAATGTAGGGTAGGAGCCCCCACACAGAGTCCACACTGGGGCACTTCCTAATGGAGCTGTGAGAAGGGGGCCATTGCCTTCCAGACCCAAGAATGGTAGATCTACTGGCAGCTTACACCCTGAACATGAAAAAGCCACAGGTACTCAGTAAACTGTGAGAGCAGCGATCAGGGTAGAACTCCACAAAGCCACAGGGTGAAGGTGCCCAAGGCCTTTGGTATCCACACTTTGCTCCACTATGCCCTAGATGTGGGACATGAAGTCAAAGGAGGTTATTTTGGAGCTTTAACATTTAATGGCTGCTCTGCTGGGTTTTGAACTTGCATTGGGCCTTCAGTTCCTTTCTTGTGGCTGATTTCTCTCTTTTGGAATGGCAATACTCCCATTATATTTTGGAAGTAAGCAAACCACCATGGTATGTGAATATCTATGTAACAATCCTGCACGATCTGCACATGTACCACAGAACTTAAAGCATAATTAAAAAAAAGGAAAAAAAGATAACTTTGTTTTTGACCTTATAGGCTCATAGATGGAAAAGACTTGCCTTGTTTTAGATGAGACTTTGCACTTTTGAGTTAATGCTGGAATGAGTTAAGATTCTGGGGGACTGTTGGGAAGGCACGATTGTATTTTGCGATGTGAGAAGGATAAGATTTGGGAGGGATCGGGGTGAATGATATAGTTTGGATATTTGTCCCTGCCCAAATCTCATGTTGCAATATGTAATCCCAGTGTTGGAGATGGGGCCTGGTGAGAGGCAGCTGGATCATGAAGGCAGATCCCTCATGAATGACTCAGGCCATTCCCTTAATGATAAGTAAGCTCTCACTCCGAGTTAACACAAAATCTGGTTGTTTAAAAGTGTGTGGCACCTCCCCTATCACTTTCTCTCACTTGCTTCTACTTTCGCCATGTGATGCGCCTGCTCCCCCTTTGCCATCTGCCAGGATTGTAAGCTACCTGAGGCCTCCCTAGAAGCTGAGCAGATAGCAGCACCATGCTTCCTGTAAAACCTATAGAACCATAAGCCAATTAAGCCTCTTTTTTTTTTCTCAATTACCCAGGTTCAGATATATATTTATAACAATGCAAAAATGACCTCATGTATTACATATCTGTGCTGCTCTGCCATTTCACTATGAGATTTTCATCAAAGAGAAATAAAATCCTATGTCAAAACATATTCTTGTACATAAATGTTCATAGCAGCTTTATTTATAATATCCAAATACTGAAAACAATACAAATATCTAATAAGAGATGAATGGATTAACAAATCCTATTACATTCCTACTATGGAGGACTACTATTCAGCAACACAAAGGAATATTAATACATGTAGCAACATGAATGAATCCCAAAATAATTATGTGGAGTAAAATATGTTAGTCAAAAATAGCATGCACTCTATATAATTTTATTTATGTAAAATTCTAGAAAATTGCAAACTAACCTATAATGACAAAAATTACATAAATGATTGCCTGGGGATTGGTGGTAAGAAGGAATTACAAAAAAAAAAAAAAGCGTAAGGAACTTTTAGGAATGATAGATTGCTTTTTAAGCTCATGTTATAATGGTTTTACAGATTAATACATATGTCCAAACTCATCAAATTTTACTCTTTTAAATATATGCAGCTTATGGTACACCAATTAGATCTTACAAAAGCTGAAACAAACATGTAATTATTTGAAATAAAAGTCATGACACTATATAATAGGAGGCTATTACTTATGTAGATATATATTTGACAACAGCATAAAAGACAAGGGGGGTGTATATGTCACTACACTGCTCCAAGGTCCTACATTTTAAGTGAAGTAGAGCAATATTAACTTTAGATAGTATTTTGATAATTTAAGAATACATTTTGTAAGCATTAAAACAGCCTAAAAAAGTACAAAAGTGGTATAGGTAAATAGCCAATAGAGGAATTAAAATAGAATGATAAAAATATTCAATTAACCAAAAGAAGACAGAAAAGGAGAACTGAAAAACAAAAAAGACAGATGGGATAAATCTCAAAACAAATAGAAACTAGTAGAAATAAGACTAACCATATCAATAATTACATGAAACATAAATGAAGTAACACTCCAAATTAAAGTGAAGAGATTGTCAGCCTGAATAAAAAAACAAGACTCAGCTACAGGTTGTTTATAGAAAGTATACTTTATAAAAACATGAATTAGTTATACGTAAAATGATGAGCAAAGATGCCATGTAAACCATAAGCATAAGAAATCTGAAGTGTCTATATTAAGATCAGACAAAACAGAACTCAAAAAAGGAGAATTATCATAGTTATAAAGGAACATTTTATAATGATTAAAGGAAAAACTTAATAATAAAAGTGTATTTGCTCAATAATTTAAAAATGCATAAAGCAAAAATCAATAACATTAAAAGAAGAAATAGATAATTCTAAAATTATAGATGTTTTAATAGCTCCTCTCATTAATTAATAGAACTACTAAATAAAATATCAATAAAGACATAGAACTAGGGTGAGCAAAATTTTTCTATAAAAGGCAAAATTTTTCTATAAAAGACTAGTCAGTATTGCAGGATTTTCAGGCCAAATGTAGTCTCTGTGGCATATTCTTTATTTTGTTTTATGCTTTTGTTTTTAACAACTTTTAAAAATGTAAAAACCATTCTAAGTTCATAGAATGTATAAAATCATGCTACACACCAGATTTAGTCCACAGGCTATGGTTTGCTGACTCCTGATACAGAAGATCTGAATAATACTATCAACCACATTGATCTAATTGAGTTTTTTTTTTTAACTGCAGATATACATTCTTCTCAAGTGTACATGGAATGTTCACCAAGACAGACCACGTTCTGGACCATAAAACAGTCTTAATACATTGCAAAAGTTCATACAAAGTATGTCCTCAGACCACAGTAGTTTTTAAATTAGGAAAAAGTAATTTTAAGGTATCTGGAATAGTCCCAAACCTTTGGAAATTAAACAATACTTTCCTAAATAGCTGACCTACTGATGAGTCAAAGTAGAAATTATAGTAAGTATTAGAAAATTTAAATTAAGTGGCAAAATATGACATATCTAAATACAACACACCTAAAGCGGTGCTTAGGGAAATTTAATCTTTAAATGCTTATGTGAAAAAAGAAGAAAGAGAATGATTTGAAGAACGAGGAATACAGAAATAATTGGTGGGTAAAGGATATATGGGAGTTCTTTATGCTATTCTTATCACTTTTCTGTTACTTAAAATTGAAAAGAAAATGGAAAGTTCCTAAAAAATTCTTAATTTAGTTATTCATATGTGAGGGTGAGAATTAAAAACAGATAAACAAAATTGGCTCAAGATAGTAGACTATTTTTCTTTCTATTAGAAATCCCTAGAAATGAGCCCCCTCACACCCATAACAAATATGTATGAAGTTTTGGTAAACCACTGAGGTGACAGCAAACAAGAAAATTTCATGTAACTAATAAAAGATAAAAATCATATTGGATGATATATACTGGGGTAAGAATACAAAAAACCAAAGTTCAAGCTGTGATTCTCTAAATTCAAAGTGCACAGATCTGAAGAATAATTAACTAATTAAATAATTCTAGATTAAAGAAAAACTTCCCAAAGAGTAGGTTGGGTAGGTTAATTCCTCCTCTTCCTTGGCCTATATCAAGATATAGGTTAGAAAGGTATTTCCCTCTGCGATAGTGGTTTGTACATGCACATGAAATCATCAGAGGCACTGAAGAACTTTATATAAAGTACTAAGCCTAGATGCTGATTTAACTAATCAGACATGAGGCCTGAGCATTAGATCTATGTTTGGTACTAAAAAAAAAATAGCATAAACAGTAGAGAAATACACTTGCCTTACAAAGCTTATTAATATAGAGTAACTGAGGACTTTGGTCCTGGTGCTGGAATTTGGAATATTGCCCAAATATTTGGAATTTGCCCAAAGGAACAGAAAAGACTATTGAAATGTAAATGAACTGGTATTTCAAGAAGGCTATAAGTGGACTATTTAATAAATGAGTCGTTTGGGGAAAAAAAACCCTATCACATTGGAATACAACTATGCTGCTTATAATGAAATAAAGAGTTAAATTAATATGGAAATTTAAAAATACTTAAAAAATACAGGTAGGTATTTTTATAATCTTAGTTAAGTCTTGACAAACACAACACAAAACTGAAACTCTAAAGAAAACATAATTTAAATGAACAAAATAAAAAATTTAAACTTATCTATTGAGAAAACACTTGATTAACCAGTTAGCAATAGAAGTAAAAGTGAGAGCCGGGCGCAGTGGCTCAAGCCTGTAATCCCAGCACTTTGGGAGGCCGAGGCGGGTGGATCACGAGGTCAAGAGATCGAGACCATCCTGGTCAACATGGTGAAACCCCGTCTCTACTAAAAATACAAAAAATTAGCTGGGCATGGTGGCGCGTGCCTGTAATCCCAGCTACTCAGGAGGCTGAGGCAGGAGAATTGCCTGAACCCAGGAGACGGAGGTTGTGGTGAGCCGAGATCGCGCCATTGCACTCCAGCCTGGGTAACAAGAGCGAAACTCCGTCTCAAAAAAACAAAAAACAAAAAACAAACAAAAAAAAGAAGTAAAAGTGAGAATATCTGTAGTATAAAATAAAGACAAAAAGGGTAAAAGTAAAAAATATCATTATTTTATAACAGACAAATGGAAAAAGGAATTAAGCGTGTATCACTATAACATTGATCTATAAGTCAAATGTTATTTTAAGACCCTCACCAAAAAATAAATCATTAGAAAATTCTGACTAATAAATATCATAATATACTTGATTTTGCTACCTATTCCATTATGCAGTACACAAAAACTTTACTTACTGCTTGATATACGTTCTTGACTGCCTGCAATTCTCTCCTTTACTGATTTAGCAGGTGCTTTTTTGCTACCATGAATGGTGGTTGTGGAGAGTTCTTTCAGTTTCCAGTGGGTCCAAAAGCCTTTTTGAGGTTTTAAACCTGTGAATATAAAATGCATATTTAGCCTAAGAAATTTGGATTTTGAAAATATCTTTTAATTTGTCAAAGTACTTTTTATGATAATTATACATTTCATCCTTACAACAAAAAAGTTCCTTTTTTGTTTCTTTTAAGCTGCATAGGATTAGTTAAGTCATTTAACCACTCTAAACATCTGTAACCTCAGCAATAAAAATGTGAATAATATAAATTATTTTGAAATATATGTTAAAGTGTTGGTAAATGGGAAAGTACTACACAAAAATGAACTAATATTATTGTTAATATTATATGTTAACCATAATTATGACTATAAACTAACATGCTCATAAATATAGCCAATATTTGCTCAGTGGTGATTGCTCAGTGAGGATTATTCACTAGACTGGGCCATCAAATTATAATTTTCTAAATGTTTTTAGATACAGTTATCACTTATTTAACAGAAGACTTCAGTTTGATTCACTTGAGTGCTTCTAGATAGATTGCCTATGTTTTAAAATATTGTACATTAATAGAAAAGTTGAAGTATAGTAAGGCCGACAGATCAGTAGATTGCCTTTGTAAAGATGTTTTATTACTCACAGTTCCCAAGAGTAGGGGGATGTCATGCCACAGGGGCCTACATGGGCAAGCCTTGGGACCAGTAAAGAGGCAGAGAAAGAAGGGAGAACTGTTGGCATGAGTCTTTACTGTGTTTTCCTTAAGGAGGAATAGGCAAGGCAAGAAGGCCTATGATTGACTAGTTTAAATAATTTCAGCAGGCTTTAGTGCATAGAGCTATCCCTTATCATCCAGTCCTGGGATGATTAGGGTAGGTGGATAGTGAACCAGAGTGTGAGAGCCCAATAAAGGAAATGGTTGTGTTGGGGCCTCTCAATTGGTTTGTTTAAAAATTAAAAAGCATTGGCCGGGCGCGGTGGCTCACGCCTGTAATCCCAGCACTTTGGGAGGCCAAGGCGGGTGGATCACGAGGTCAAGAGATCGAGACCATCCTGGTCAACACGGTGAAACCCCGTCTCTACTAAAAACTACAAAAAATGAGCTGGGCATGGTGGTGCGTGCCTGTAATCCCAGCTACTCAGGAGGCTGAGGCAGGAGAATTGCCTGAACCTAGGAGGCAGAGGTTGCGGTGAGCCAAGATCGTGCCATTGCACTCCAGCCTGGGTAACAAGAGTGAAACTCTGTCTCAAAAAAAAAAAAAAAAGAAAAAATTAAAAAGCATTTAAAAAACATGCTCATGGGCAAGTTGTCTTTAGGAGTTGACTAACCCTAGGAAGTGTAGTCCTTCTAGAGTCATCAAGGTCCCAGGTGTCAAAGTATCAGAATATAGAAAAGAAAATACATTTATTAAAATAAAATGTTAATACTGTCCAGTGTTTGATGAACCATACTTGGTCCTGATATATAAAGAGAGAGAGAGATTACTATGTACCAAACTGTGCTTGACACAAGGGGCAAAAATTTCATTTCAATCTAGTCCTTGTCTGCCATCAAGGCAGATATGAAATTATTTAGCATCGTGCCCGGTCCACACTAAGCACTTAATATAAGTTAATTTCACTGTTACTTTTTTTTTTTTTTTTCCAATTAACCACTGCTTGATCTCTGACTACATTCCAACATTATTTACAAGTTTTAATTCAAACTGGTCACAAAACATGAATTGTTTTAAAGAATGACCTTTATATAGAGGCACAACACCTGAATGAAGTGTTATTTACCTGTTCGCATTGCCAATTTTTAAAAACTAAATCCTAGTAGGATCTATTCGAGTATTTCCCAGGAAATTGTTATCCTACAGGGTTTAGAAACAAATTGTATATAAAATAAAAGAGCTAAATACCTAAAATGTCTTTGTAATTAATTGGCAACTTACATATATTCTAATTTTCATTTTATAAAATGTATACAGACATATAAAGAGTCAAATATATGTCAAACTGTTTGTTTAATTTCCAAACTCTCATAGTTCCTCACACATCCCCAGGACCATATCTTGCTTCCCAGAAACAACTATCTTTATTTGGGACCCATAATGACAGCATACAAAAGAAGGGCTATATTTTTACACTTTGCTGTGTTAATTTTAGGCATTATCTATTGACTTCCAACTAGGGAAGATAAAGATTTAACAATCTTTCACCATCCTATCCCATTATCAACCACATACAAGCTAACTTTCTATTCTTTACATAATACCAACTTTTATATTTTTCATTTTGTGAATATCAACATTTACATTATAACTATGTAAAATCTTGTTGACAACTGAACCAATTTTCTTTTGTTGAATATAAAGAATAATGTGGAGAATTGATATTTAAAAAAATGAATCTGCTTTACTTATTTTCTTAAGGAAATTTGTTTCTCTGAAGTTAATAATCTTTGGATGTTTTCATTTTCTTGTGTTCTACATACTTACAATTAACTTAGCTAAAAACTACTCCACCCGTCACTGTTTAAATTACTTCTGAATACATTCAGATGCATTAGGGATTCTCTGAGTTTAATATTCTTGGAAACATCTCTCCCAAAGCCTGCCAATGTGCTCAAATCTGAACAAATTTTTTCACTAGGCTTTCGCAGTTATTATCTAGGGAGCTCCCTTCGCTATTATTTTGGGGATTCAATTTACATGCCTTACGTGACAAAGCCTCTATTTCTTGACTGTCATCTTAACCTCTTCCTTAATTTACTCCTTATTTTGGTGATTTTTTTTCTCCAGTAACATGATAAGAAAATATATATATAAGTTAACAATGTCTTTGGTTCATCCTTACGCTTACTCGACAAATTGGTTGGGTCTAGGGGTCCTAGGCTGTAAATAATTCTCCCTTAGAATTTGTAAGACATTGTTCCATTCTCTTCCATCTTTCAGAGTTGCTGATAAGAGGGAGGATAGAATTCTGTTTCTTAATCTTTCCATTCTCTGGAAGTTTTTAGCATTTTCTTTTTTTTTTTTTTTTTTTTTTTTTGTGTTCTGAGGACTCAAAACAATTCACTGTGGCATACATCAATTTTTATCCATTGTCCCAAGCACTAGATAATCTCTTTCAAACTAGAAATTCAAGTTTTTCAAGCATGGAAACTTTTTGAAGTAATTCTTTGATTGTTTCTTACTTTGCTTTTTCTCTGTTTTCTCTTTTTGAATATAACAGAGAATTGAGATTCAAAAACAAAAAGGCTGAAGGATTAGTTTCTTCCCATTGGAGATGGATGCTTAAATAGATCTATAAAAATGTTCTATACCTTGATGTGTATGTTGATTTCATGTATATATGTCTGTGTATATACATTATGTATTCTGTATGTTTATATATATTCTATACTATGTATCAAGGTGCACCCTACAGATTTGTGCAATGTACTTGATGTATATTAGATTTCAATAAAATAATGTTAAAAACAAATCTTCATAGAAAAATTTAAAAATCAGTAATAAAATGTTTAAAGTGTAGGGAAATAAGATATTTCTCGCTATCAGAATCCTTCAAGATTTGAATATTCTCTACAACAACTTACAAATATTTAAAGTCAAAATTTCATTTCCGAATAGAAAAACACAAAAATCATTCATTCATTGTGAAAATGTATAGAGTTCTTGGGAGCCTGGATGAGAAGATACAGGTAATGCTGCACTTGTACATCAGCTATTCTCCAGAAAGGATCATGTCTCATGTTTTTGTTTTTTAAAAGCATTCTGCTTTACTCCCATCATTTTCCCTGTCTTCAGACTGTGGGCTGATCCTACAAGAGTCCCAGTGTTTCTCTCTGCCAAATGCCTGAGAGAATGTGCAACCCTGGCACAATTTACATAATATATTCAACATGTTTATATTGCATTGTTCATTTACACTTTAGTACTTATTCACTGCCTTAAGAAGGCAAATACAGTTTGTGGCCATTATTGTACATTGTTGTTGAATAGTGCCGAAAAACATATCCGTTAATAAGTTTGTTACTAGATAAACAGGTAGTTACTTTGTCTATTAAACGACTTATGAATAAATCCTTGGTGGGTTGTTATATAGGTATTTTAGGGAATATCTATATATAATATAGATAATATTATATATATATTTAAGGGAATATCTATATATACTAGATTGTAAACAGAGATACTTAAGGAAGTTGGTTGGGGTTTTTGAATGGCTTGGGAGCACATTGATATTCCTCTCAATTAAATTATGAAATGTCAGCTGCAAATTTGAAAATTTTCTATTTGACACATTTTCAGAGATTAATTAGAATCATATAAAGAAGAAAGGCTGTGGTGAAAATATTATAGTTAAACATTATGAGTTATAAATAAAGGTTTAACTCAGGGGTACACTCATAGCCTTAAAGCTTTTATTACTAGGCAATAAATATGAAAATCATGTACAAAACTTTCAGCTCTGTAAGTTAAAAAAAGCAGTCATTCAAAAAGACGGAGATAAAATAATGACAATAAAAGCAAAATTAATGCATGAATATTTTTATCAAGTAAAAGTTGCAAATAAAATGATTCCTTCTTTGGTGGAAAATTAGACAAAATAGATTTAAGAAAAGAGGAATGGAAATTGTTCCAGAATAATGCAAAAAGCATCAAGTATCCCATACCTTATTAAAAAAAACAGCACTTACAGAAATTTTTCAAGAGTAATTAATATTTGACAATATTAAAAATATTAGAACTCTCAAAAAACTATTTTATCATTTAATCAGAACAATTTTACAAAGTAAACAGATCAAAAAATGATGTGATTTTTCTAAGATCATAGAGTCACACAGCTCTAACTCCAAAGTCAAATAAGAAGAAAAAACAATTTATGCTCATTCACCAAAATATTTACTTTTATCTTTATGAATCTTCTGAGGTACAAATCATACAATCTTTTTCATATTTTAATTGGCTAGCATGTGACCACTTGTATTTCCTTAAGAAAGTCTCATGTGAAAAAATCCTTAAACTTTTTTATGTTTAAAATAGTTTGTGGTGCACATTTGTGTGTGAC